ACACCGAGAAGGAAGAGGAGGTGTGGGATTGATCAACCAGGAGGAGGAAGTTGAGGTTGGCAGTTTTTGCACATACTGCTTTTAGCTAAAGATTGGTCGGCCATTCCTCAGCATTTGTACTTGGACCAGGGGAAACCTTGCCCTCTGATGAGTCTAAGGCCTTGGCATCCTTGACATGGCTGTGCTCATGCCCTGAATGCCTGTTCACACAGGCACACTCGCTCCACACAGGCTTTTTTTTTTTTTTAAAGATCTAATTTTTATTGTTGTTTGTGTGTTTTTTGAGTCAGGGCTCTGTGTAGCCCTGACTGTTCTGGGAACTCGCTCTGTAGACCAGGCTGACTTGAACTTTAGAGAGCAGCCTGGCTCTGCCTCCCAAATGCTGGGATTAAAGGCATGCACCACCACAGCCCAGCTTAGATTAATATTTATTACTTTAAATTTTGTGTTTGTGTGTCTGTGAGGCAGGGAGGTGTGCACATGTGTCAGAGGCCAGAAGTGCTGCTCTTGGAGCTGGACTTAACAGGTGGTAGTGAGCTGTCTCACATGGATGCTGAGAGTCAAACTCAGGTCTTTTGCAAGAATGGTATGCTGTCTTCATGACTGAGCCATCTCTCCAGGCCGTGTGTGTGTGTGTGTGTGTGTGTGTGTGTGTGAGTGTGTGATCTTATTTTATATGTATGAGTGTTTTGCCTGTGTGTGTGTATGTGCACACACACACACATGTCTGGTGCTCTAAGTTTGGAAGAGTGCATCAGATCCCCTGCAAGATGGTTGTGACTCATCATGTGGATGCTAGGAATCAAACTTGGGTCCTCTAGAAGAGCAGCCGGTGCTCTTAGCCACTGAGCCATTGCTCCAGCTCCTGGGTCTATATTCTTTTTGTTTGTTTGTTTGTTTGCTTGTTTTGAGAGAGGGTCTCACTATATAGTTCTGGCTGTTCTGGAATTTATTGTGTAGACCAGACTAGCCTCAAGCTTACAGAGATCTGCCTACCTCTGCCTCCCAAGTTCTGAGATTAAAGGCATGCACCTGGCACCTGACTTGTTATGTTGGTTTTTCGAGACAGGGTTTCTCCATAGCTTTGGAGCCTGTTCTGGAACTAGTTCTTGTAGACCAGGCTGGCCTCGAACTCACAAAGATCCGCCTGCCTCTGCCTTCTGAGTGCTGGGATTAAAGGTGTGTGCCACCACCGCCCGGCTCTTGCTATATATTCTTAAAAGATAAATTTACTTTTGGTTGTTCTACTCACTCCTAAAGTAGTTTTATTGTGTCTTAAAAAGAAGCAAGTTTGCTGGGCGATGGTGGTGCATTCCTTTAATCTCAGCCCTCCGGAGGCAGAGGCAGGCAGATCTCTGTGGGTTCAAAGCTAGCCTGATCTACAAAGTAAGTTAATTTTTTCAGTACTCTTAGGCAAAAGGTGAAACCCTTTGGGAATCTGCCTTGAGTAGAAGATTATTCTATGTGCAGCCTCAGGTAGGCCCGTTTTCTACCTGCTGTCTGTTTTTATGTCAGTGCAAATGCTGAAGGCGTCTAACATTCCTTCTTTGGCTTTTTGAGATGGAGTCCCAAGTAACCAAGCCTGGCCTGCAGCTCGCTCTGAGGCTGGGGATTACCTTGAACTCCCAATCCTTCTGCTTCTACCTTCCTAGTTCCAGGATTACAGCACCATCATGCCTAGTTCCAGTTAGATTCATTCTTATTCAGCCTTTTCTGTGCTACTTAATTTGTGGATGCTCTGAAAATGAAATGCTGTTAAGAATTTTTTAAGATACCCATCCAAACAAAGTCAGTGTTGTGAGCATTTCATTTTCTAATGGTTTGTGTCCAGGTGACCATACATTAGAAGTGTACCCAGTCGACAACATCACAGGTTGGAATTGTATTTCTGGGGAGTGCACAATACTTTTGATCCATGCTGAGTTATAAGAAAGTGAAACTTCGCTGGGGGTGGGATGGGTGGTGGTGTATGCCTTTAATCCCGGCATTTTTGGGAGGCAGAGGCAGTGGATGTTTTTGAGTTCAAGGCCAGCCTGATCTACAGAACAAGTTACAGAACAGCTAGAGATATACAGAGAAACCCTGACTCAAACAAACAAACAAACAAACAAAAAGGAACCTCACCTGTCAGCCCTGTAGTATGATCTGGATCACAGTCTGTGGTGTCCTCAGAGGGGGAGGAGTCAGGGAAGTATGTTATCCAGGTCACGTGACTGCACATAAATGAGGAGTTAATGCGACAGGTCACACAGGACATTGGCTTCAGATCCTTTGCAGAGCAGTGGCTTTACTGCAGGTCACGTGATCCCAGCTGTCACCTGCACACCAGCCCCCTCATTTGTCACAGGATTCTTTTTTCGGTACATTTTCAACTCCAGAATCTTGTTTTTTTGAGACAGGATTTCTCTGTGTAGCCCTGGCTATCCTGGAACTCACTCTGTAGACCAGGCTGGCCTTAATCTCACAGATATTCACCTGACTCTGCCTCCTGAGTGCTGGGTTTAAGGTGTTCACCACCATCCAGTCTCAACTCCAGAATCTTTATTATCTATTTGTTTATAGAAACAATTAGGCAGGATCTCTGTGAGATTCTCTTTTAGAAACTGTATGTTTAATACTTGTGATAATAAGACACATTGTGATAATAAAATACATCATCTCTAAATTATTTACTGCCCCTTAGATCATAGAGAAATTATCTCCTAAGGACTTTTCAGAAATCTTAGCTTTTTGGAGGTCTTTCTAATAGCTGTATAGAGTATCTGAGCCAATTTTTGAATTGAGGCTCAAACAACTTTCCATATATTTTGTATTTGAATTTTGTATGTAACAACTCTTTTTAGTAAACATTTGGGCTTATAAAATTCTCATCTTGTTTAATATCTGGATGGTTGAGATTCATCTTGTTTAGTATCTGGATGGCTGAGATGTTTTAGGCTTGCAGTAGTAGACTGGCCTGTGAAGTTGGCCTGGCTAACATAGTGACCTTAGGTATGTGTGGCCATGGACAACGTGTTTCTGCTGTTTACTGTTCTTGCTTTCTAGTGACTTTATTTTCTGCTCAAGGGATTTAGTATCTGTTCAGATAACTTTCTTTTTAAAGGCTACATAAAGTAATGACCTCTAATCTTAGCCTTGAAAATTCCCCAGACCTATCATTTGAGAATACTTCTCAATGGTAGACAACCAGTGCTGTTAGAAAATGTGTATTTTACTTTGAAAATTACTTCCCTGCCTAAATGACTTTGATTAGCAAAATGGTACATGAATGGCATAATTGACAGCTCCTGGGCCTTGCCTTGTGTGATGCTTCTCATGTCCTGTCACTAAGACCCAGTGCAGTTCAGAGCAGCGCTTCCTGAATAGCATCACCTGATTCTGAAATGAAAACCAACCCTTCCAGTGCGACACAGTCTTATCTGAAATAGCACTGTCTCTTGGATCCAGTAAGAACGTTTAGAAATGATGGGTTCTATAGGGAAAGACCTACAATTAATCATTTTTTTTAATGAGTGTGAGCAGTATTTCCAGGAGATAATAAACAATCATAGTTAAGGTAGCTGAACAGGGGCTGGAGAGGTGGCTCAGCCATTTAAGAGCACTTGTTGCTCCTACAGAGGACCCTGGTTCATTTCCTAGCACCAGGTAGTAGCTCACTGCCATTTTTAACTCCAGTTCTAAGGCATCTGATGTCCTCTTCTGACCTGCATGGATGCCAGGCACACATGTAATGTACACAGATACACACAGGCAAAATATTCATACACATAAAAGTAAAATAAATCTATAAAAAAGACATATGGACAATTGACATCATGGATAAAGTTTAACAATTAGTGACATGATAGAGAGTTCATGGGATTGTATTAATAATGTACGGTCAGGTCTATTCATGACGGAGACGACATTTCCCCGGGGGTCAGGGCTCTCGTTGCCCTGGTGGACTCCTTCCACTTGTCCACTCTCCGGGATAACAGAGCTTCTCGGTGAGGTCCCGCCTAGGCACAGTGACGTTGCTTCAAAGTTGGCAGAGAAAATTACAAATGGTTATTACCTTGATTTGTTTGACTTTTTTGTTAAAAAGATAATGCTTAGTTCTTTGCTGCTGTATCCTTAAGTGCAAAGAGGTGAAACCATGCTCTTAAGTAGTTGCAGTTGTTATTTGAAATCTGTTTTAGCCTAGTTAGACAATCCTGAAAGTGGTTTTAGTAATTGCAGTTTTTCCGTGGTTCCAGTAGAAGAGAAATACTTCATTCAGCTCTCTTCTTGAAGCAGTGAGATGGTTTGTTCCTCTTTTTCCTGAAGCAAGAATTATGAGTGTAACGCCGCAGAACAGACTCTGTTAATATATAAAGCTTCCCCATGTTTGAACCCTCAGCACTGGTAAATAATGTGCCTGACAGTGAAATGGAAAAAGTTAAAGCTTTCTATTTGTGCATTTTGAGCTTTTCAGAGGTATTACACACTCTGGGAATAATAATAAAAGATACTAGGACTTATACAGTGCCTTTGTGTGCGGAGCTCATATAGACACTAAGGCATTGATCCTAGCACAGTACTTGATTGTGACTTTGAAAGGTCATGAGTTACGGCTGCTGCAAGAAACTCGAAAAGATGGAAGGACACTGCAGTTTACAAATACTGCTTTAAAGTCTACACAAGAGTCTACAGCTCAAAGTTAACCAGGAATTTTGGTAGCTTATATGTTGGCTTTTTGATAGATTTTTTTTAATGCTTTTGCCATTTTTTTCCTATCCATAAATATTTTCAATGTCAAATTGTCTTTTAAATAGGAACACAGAATGTACTTTTAACCCTTTCTTTTTCCTTGGCTGAGACAGCTTATAACCATGATGGTTTCCGGCGTATTTAATGTAACAGGGTGTTTTTGTTTTCTTTTTTTTGGTCCTGAATCTAGAGTTGAATGTTTGTAGGTGTGTAACTATTGATTTGGAATACAGTAGCCATTTGCCATAATTTTCAACTTTTTTGTTTTCTAGGTTTATTCTACAATCCAAGGAAGTAATTCACAACCAGCTGTTAGAAAAACAGAAAGTAGCAGAAGAAAAAATTAAAGAACTGGAGGTATGTCCACATGACAACAGCAGTCAGCTCGTAGGGAAAGACGTGATAACCCCTTTGTGTTATGTTAGATGAAAACATGACCGACAGAGTTTTTCTCTAATTTACTGTAGAACTGTGGAACAGCCATATTCATAGTATTTGAAGATAAGAAGTGAAAAATTTTTTAAACTGTAGGCAGTTTTTTGTAAATTTATTTTCTTATTATTTTATGTTCATTGATATGAGGGTCAGATGCCCTGGAACTGGATTTACAGACAGTTGTGAGCTGCCATGTGGGTGCTGGGAACTGAACTCAGGACCTTTGGAAGAGCAGTCAGTGCTCTTCAGCGTTGAGCCATCTCTCCAGCCCCCTGTAGGCAGTTTTTAAAGATAAGGTGTTGGTCTGAATATGTATTCTCCATTGCCTTTTACTACACAGTTTCTTTAAAAAAAAATAGACAAAAGAGACATTGTTTAACTAGACTGTGGCAGATGGACAGAATAATGGACAATAGTAACAACTGCCAGAGGGCCTTACTGTACTGTCTCTTTTACATGCAATTCTTTTATCTTAGATTTAGACAATAACAAAGTAGGGAGCCATAATTAATAAACAGTCTGAGTGATGGTGTGTATTCCTACGAGGAAAACAAACATCTTTAAAGCTTGGATAAAAGATAATAGATTAGAAAGTGGTGGGAAACTCAAGCTTATTGCAATTTTCTTATGTGTTGAGACCTTTGATGGGATTTTTTTCTGGGGCTTTGGTGAAGGGCCTTTCCTGTCCATCACAGCAGTTAGATTAGGCTATTTCTTAAGTACCAAGATTTCCTGTGACCGGGGTGGATATACTATGATTTCATAGGTCAGGTGACCTAATTTCTGTTAGTACTGTTGAGGCAGTGGTTTAGAATATGATTCAACCCTCTGCTGAATTGGGGAGACACCCCCTCTAGTCAGTGGGGGTTTCTCAGGGCACTGATTTGGCATGGCCTGGGTGTGGAAGAGCTTCTTAGATTTACTTTAGTTTGACTGATAACTTAAACTAACTTGATTAGTAGTGACTTGGAAAGATGCAATGTAAAAATAAAACAAAAACCATAAAGAAAAAAATTCGTCAGCCTACGGTAACCAGTTTGTTGTTACAGCTGTTCTGTTGCCTTTGTGCCTCGGAGCTGTTCTAGAGCAAATATTCTCTTAGTTTCACTCAGGAAAAAACAAAAATATCTAAAAAACCCAAATGAAACTATTTCATATAGATTAAACAAAAACTTGGTTTTTGTAGCTAAGTGAATACATTTGAAAATTGTTCTGATGAATAAATAGCAGAATGCAAGTTTTTTCCTTTGTGTGTGTGTGTGTGTGTTATATGTTCATGTGCATGTGTATTTGTGTTATGTGTTTGTGTGCATGTGGGGACCTGAGGTCAACCTTGGTATTTTTCTCTGTAACTAGTTTTTGAGACAGTCTCTCTCTGTACCTGGAGCTCACTGATGTGGCTGATTGGCTGGCCAGCACTCCACGAACCCACAAGTCTCTGCCTTCCCAGCTGTGATGGTACAGGTGTCACTATCACTCTTGGCTTCTTTACATGGGTGCTGGGGATTTGAACTCAGGTCCTCATGTTTGTACGGCAAACACTTTACTGAGCCATCTCCTCAGCCCCATGTGGTTAAATGCTTTATGGAAACAAACCAGAACTAAAGTCATTGATATGTGTCTAAATTTTGTTGTGTTATGGCTTTCAAGACTAAGTTTCATTTAGTTCATACTGGCCTTTATTTGCTGTGTAGCCAAAGATAACCTTGAACTCCTGATCTCCCTGTCTCCGATTCCTAAGTTGTAAGATTGTGGGTATATGCCAACACGCCTGGCTTTTGAATGTAAAGCTGTATATTGGATTATTAAACAGTGGTTACTGTACGGAAATGACTTAGGGCATAAGGGCAAATGATGTTTTTCTTTCATGTGGTGGTGGAGCATGCATGTGCTATGGCTTGTGTGTGGAAGTCAGAGGACAACTCAAGAGTTGGTTGTCTCCTTTTGCCCTGTGGGACCTAGAGATTGAACTCAGGTCATTGGGCTTGTTGGCAAGTGCCTTTACCAGAAGAGCTGTCGCGCTGCCCCCAGAGTTTTTTTTTTTATTTTTTATTTTTATAATCTGTGTCGAATAAGTTATAAATATACATTAACTGTGCAAAATTTAATGTTTTTGTGTGTGTACTATGACACTTGAGCGGAGATCAGGGTCAGCTTTTGGGAGTTGGTTCTGTGGGTGTTAGGGCTAAAACTCCGGTGCTCAGATTTGGGTGTTATACTCTCTGCTCTTAGTTTTTAGCTTTTATACTTAAACATGTTCCGGGGCCTAGAGAAGGAGGTGTTCATGAGTCTGAGCACGAGCAGAGCAGCTCCCGCAGGACACCTCTGTTCAGTCCCAGCACCCATGGTAGGTGGCTCACAACCACCTATAACTCCTCCTCTAGGAGGTCCAGTGCCCTCCTCTTGCCCCTGTGGACATCTGCATCTCTCTCTCTCTCTCTCTCTCTCTCTCACACACACACACACACACACACACACACAGGTTACCAAGGTAAAATTGCCACAGATGATTTTAGCATATTGCTCAGTTCTAACGAGCACAAGGGACTTTACTTTGTAGCAGCTTTTCTTTCAGATCTCCCAAATACTGCTGGATATTTTGTTTAGTAGAACCAAGTTAGGGGCTTTGGCGCCTATCTGAAAGGCTAATTAAAGCTACACAAAACTACCAGGGCTAAGTAATGTCTACTCTAGAAAGTTAATTTTCTTCTTTCAGATCTTTAATTTTATGTTATTTATATTATAAAAATTATGTATGGGGGAAGGAAAAGGGAGGTGGGGAGGAGGTGGAAATTTTTAATAAATAATAAAAAAGTAAATAAACAATAAAAAATTATATATCTATACCATAAAAAGCAAAAAAACTCAAGCAATAGAAAAATTAAGCATGGAAATATAATCTCCTTGTTTTCCTGTATCCCTCCAAATGTTAGTGCACAATTTGGCATGTATTGTTTTAAACTTTGTTCAGTATAGTATTTTTATACATAATACATACATACACACATACATTAAAAAATAAAACATTATTCTATGTCACTTGATAATTATGATGGCTTTCTGATTTAATAATGTATTTGATTTTTTATTTTCCATTCCTCCCACTGTTGCAGGCTCTTATTACCTCTGTATTCAATTTTTGCATGCACCTTATGTCTGCCTTAGCAAACAGACAAACCTTGAAGATATCCCAGGTTTTGGCAACAATAAACTTGTATTTTTAAGCATATATTATAAAACTATATTATTAAGGCTAAAATGATCTTTTTTTGGTTTCCCAGTATTACGAGAGTTGGGTTTGCATTATACTTTACCCTAACTAGCATCCTGTATCATTTTATTTAGAAAATGCATATGGCAGACTCTCTATGAGAGACCTTACCCTTTTGGAGGAGTAGGTGGGAGTGGGCTGGGGGGAGGCGAGGGTCGGGGAGGAATGAGGAAGTTTGAAGTGTCCCAGAGATTACTACAATATGATGCAGACAGAAGTTAGCATACACTGTTGAAGACATGCTTATGGTATATGTGCCCAACACCGGCTTATAACAAACTTAGGAGTGTTAAACGATGCTGTTTCAGTGAGATGGTAAAGGTGATTGCTGCCAAACCCGATGGCAATCCCTGGAACACACAGAGAGACAGAAGAAACCAGTTCCTGACGTTGTTCTCTTGATCTCCATGGTTCTCTCTCTCTTCTCTCTCTCTCTCTCTCTCTCTCTCTCTCTCTCTCTCTCTCTCTCATTAAAAAAAATGCAAGTAAAGAAAAGAAATGCAGTAGCTACAAAACAGTGGTGCGAGATGCCTTCACTTTCCATCTCTGCCTGTGACTTCTGGTTTTGGTTTTTCCAGACAAGGTTCCTCTGTGCAACATTCCTGCTGCCCTGGAACTCACTTTGTAGACCACGCTGGCCTTGAATTCACAGAGATCTGCTTCTTAGTGCTGGGACTAAAGGTGTGCACCACCACCACCTGGCCAATGACCCTGACCCTGTGTTTACCATCAGCCTCCATGTGCAAGATCTTTTTCTTTCCTGAAGCAAATTTTCCTGAAAAAATCCTTAAGAGCTTTTGCTTTGATTTTGGATTTGGGTTTTGGGTTTTTGAAACAGGGTCTCTCTATGTAGCCCTTGCTGTCCTGGAACTCACTCTGTAGACCAGACTGGCCTCAGAGATCTCCTGCCTCTGGTTTCACAGGGCTGGGATTAAAGGAGTATTAGAGTATTAAAGCCTGCCTCTTAGGTTTTTTTTTTTTTAACTGCACACATTAATAGTCTGTTCCTGCAGCCTGAAATGCACTTGTGCACTAGAACAGACTCACATTCATTTTAATAATTCTTTCTGCTTCTGATTTTTCTTCTGCATATTCAGTTAGTGGTGAAAGATTGCAGGGATCTCCTTCTGTAAGGGTACTTAGGAATGCGCCTTTCATCCACCAGTCCAGTGGGCAGTGATACTTAGTGGCTATTGCGGGTGTAAGTGCCCATGGTTACTGCATGCACACTTCAGAGCATCGCTTTTTATTTAGGGCTGTCTCAGCTCTTCTAAAAGGAACTTCCCACTTATTTCTAGCATCCGTTGTTAGAGTCGTCAGTCCAGTTGTTGATTTGTCTCCTGTGCTGTCCTGTGTTTCAGTGGAGCTCCCTCGGGCTCTCTGGTTGGTACACTGTTGAGGCTGACCCTCTTTATGGTCTGTTTCTGCTTTTAGGCACATCTGTATGCTCTTCTGCCACTGCCTTTTCCTTCTGTTTCCAACAGGGTTACCACCCTTACCACCACCCTGGTTAGCTCAGCAGTGACAGAGTAAGAGTGAGGAAATGCAGGCCTCTGGTCCTTGGCTTTGTGCCATTTCTGAGGCAAAGTGTTGCAATGTTAGGGTTGTTGAAATATTTCCCCAGCCCAGGCTATACGTAAAATCCAAAACA